CCCCCGCCCCCGGCCCAGCCCGTCGAGCACGCCCCCTTGGGGCCACGCGTAGGCCTCTCGGGGGGCGAGGCTGCTCTCGGCATTACAATGCAGCAGTGCTTAGCGCTAATTAGCCTAAGGGATTCTCTGCTGCTGCAGAAACAAAAGAAAAAAGTGAAATAATGTGCAAACAACTGCGGCAGATGCAAGGGCGCGGGCGCTAGCGGTGGTACGGCCCCGCGGCCCCGCGGCGTCCTGCCCTCCTGTGCAGGATGACTCCCGCTGCCGCTGTTGCGAAATACGCGGAGGGATCGGAACATCTGGAGCGGTTGGCCGGCGCACGTATCGCACCGAGCGTGGCGAGGCGTGGGGCGGCACCAGCCAGGCGTCGGGGCGCAGCCGCTGCCGTCCGCGTCGCAGCGCAGTCGGTGACAATGGGGCGATAACTATACTAGCGCGAGGCGCTAAGATGAAAAGGCCCTTCCCGATGACCCTACAGACGCAAACGTAAACGAGCAACGGCGCTAGTAGGCGCGCACGAATAGCCCGCCGTCGCTTCGGCCGGCGCGGGCCAGGGTGTCGTGAGGACACGGAACCAAACGGTTATGGGGCACAGAAGTCGTCATGAATGATGTCAGAGAGGGGCCCGCCGCGCGGTGATTCGAGCCCTTCATGACCGGGTGCCCGCCCGGCCCGCGCCTCTCCAGGCTCGGCGGGCCGCGCGCCGAGCCGAGGCGCAGCGTGGCGTGATGCTAGCCGTGCCGGCCGATAAACTGATAACGACTTTCTACGGGGCGTGGCGTGCCCGCGTGCCCGGGCGTAGCGCCAGGATGCTCCTCGCTTTCATCCTGCAGACGGTTTGGGCCTGCAAGGGGCGGCGCGCGCGCGTCCGCGTGGGTGGGCCACCACGGCGGCGGGGCGCGCAGTAGCGGTCTCCTTTTGGCCGCCTCGCGAGTTTCAGCCTCCCCTGGCCCGGGCCGGCCCCACTCTGCCCCAAGCTCTCCGGTCACTAGATCGCGCACGACGCTCAACCTCCGTTTGTCCTCCAGTTCCGGTGGTCAGCGCTCCTGATGGGCCACGCGGCTCGGGCATGACCGTTAAACGGGGCAGCCGCGCCACGGCCGACATGAGGAGGACCTCACGGACAACAACGCGACGCTCCGCGAGGAAAAACAAACGAGGCGAGGCGATATCCAGCGCGCTGCCCCCTTCCCCGCTGTTGCTCTTCACGCTCGAATACGACCGTTGGCAGCCTCATCCTCATCCCCCGTCACCGGTGTGCCGACCCCGTCACACAAGTGGCCCAGCCAGCGCCGCTTTAGCCGGACAGGGGCGGCCGGCGACATAGCTCCAGCGCGCATGTGGCCGCGTTTCCGAGATCGCACGCAAACGTCCTGCTCGTCGCTGACGGGAGATGCACCGCTGAAAATAGCGGACCCGATCTCGTCTGTGCGTCTGTCTCTTGCTACTGCTCCAGACCCGCGCTACTTTTCATGCATGACTACGAATGTGGTGTCTTTAAGCCGTAGAGTCAAGTCTTAAGAACTATTTAACTTCCTCGCGTTACAAATCTCCTTTTTGGCACGATATATGAATATAGGTCGGTCCGATGATTCTCTCACAGCAACGGGGTGCTTCGCAGTGTCGCGTCCAGGTCCAGGACGAGGCTGGGCTCTGGCACTGCTCCGCGCTACACGCGCTACATGCGCCGCTTACACGCGGACGTGCGGCCGGCGGCCGGCTCGCAAACAAAGTGTGCTGCACGTCAGAGAACGCTCCCCGGCCCCGGCCGGCCCCGCACCGGCCGGACTACCATATATAAGAGTGGAGAAGACGCCGCCCGGCGCGCCGCCCCACCCCCACCTCATGAAAAGCTCACGGGACTTTATTATTTCAACGTGCGCTGCTGCTAGGCAAAGTTTGGACGAGTTTCGGCCACTCCACTCCATACTACTGGCTGCGGGGCTGCGGGCACGCGGGCGGGGGCAGCTGGCGAAAAGACAGAAACAGTGAAGAGGCGTCGCGAGGTGCCCAGGAGTTTGGCGGCTGGAACTGGTACAGATAAGGGGAGATCCGAGTGGGGAAGAGAGGGCTCGAGCACAGAGCACAACCTCTTGTGGTGTGAGTTCGACGGCCGCACCCGCCCAGGCCCTTCCACTGTCCCCTCCCACTCAAAAAAAGAAAAGTGCAATGTGACGTTAGGTTGATTGGTGACTGAGTTTAAGAGAACTTTCTAGTCGAAGTTCACCGCCAAATTCCTTGTAATCGATGATCGTGCAGAAGTAAATAAGACACACCGGAGGGTTCAAACCTATTTCGCCTTCGATGGGGAGGTTCAAGTGCGACGCATTTGTGTCGTGCCCTCCAGCGCCAGCCCGAATGCCAGGGCGTAGGGAGGGGCCAGCAGTGGCGGCAGAGGGTAAAAATTGAAACAGGCGGAGCGGCAGCAACAGCAGCCCCCTCGAACAAGAGTAAGTAAAGGGGGGCTATAATGGCAGCGCGCCCCGGGTCCGGCCGGCGCCGGCGGCGCCCATCGCCCATTGATCGGCCCGGCGAGCCTCGGAGAATCCGGGCAAAACGCAACGCAATCCCGACCAGAGGCGGCCGGGGCCGGGCCGGGCAGGGCAGAGCAGCACGGGATGAAAGTTTCCAGCTCAAACACGCCAAAGCAAATATTCGAGAGTATATCTCCTCAGCGCCCCGCCCCGCCCCGCCAGGCCGCGGCCCCGTGATTCCTCGCGCCGCGGAAACGCTTTACGCATCGCGCCCTTACGTCAACAAACTGTATTCTAAATAGGAAGTTACCCAATCACAGGCGGCGCGCTAATCAGACCAACGCCCCCGCCGCGCCGCGCAGCCCCGCGCCACGCAGCGCCACAACACCGGTTCATATTCTACATGTTTCTCGCTCGATGAGTATCGCGCGCAGCGGCGGCATCACGCGGGGGAGGAGATAATAAAAAATAAAAACAAGAAAGTCAGGAAGAGGAATCGAATTGCGCGACGAGCAAAACGCGAGTCTATGGCGTGGCGTGCAGTACCGGAATGCCGCTTACGTGCTTACGTGCGTGTGTGTGTATGTGTGTGTGAGCGAACGGCTGTGTTGGTGTGTGTTCGTGTTCTTGGGCCCTGGCTCCACTAGACCCGCCCTCCGATAAAGAAAGTTCCGAAAGAAGGTGCGAAAGGGGGAGAAAACTCAAACACGTGTACAGTACACTCAAGCACACACACACGCGCCTTATCTCATGCGTCGTTTTCAGAATCACGCAAAAAAAACGACCGCCACAGAGTTACAACGCGCATTGCACGGGCGGGCAAAAAATATATACAACATGTTAGCAAATTAATCAGCAGTAAGAGTAACGCAGTCATATAACAGCAAGCGGGGCGCGCGGCACTGCTCCTCTGCTCGCTCGTAAAACGGACAAACATAACTTTTCGTTTCGTTTCGACTCCCTGGGCAGGCCAGGCCAGGCAGACCAGGCCGGCCAGGGGGTCCCCGGTGGCTTTAGCGCAGCTCTAATTTCACTCTCCGAGGCGAGCAGCCGGGCAGGCAGCCGGGCAGGCAGCCGTGTGCCGCCGGATATTAGCCATTTGGCACAGTTACACAGAGAAAGGCCGTGGGTGTTGTAGTGCGAAATAAAAGCCGAAGCCCTTACTAAACGCGGTAGATAGTCCTGTTGACTCTGCCCCCCCCCCCTTTTCCCCGCCATGACTCACACAACGCTGGCGGCTCCTCCAAAGGGCACCGCCCGCGGGGGCTACGGAAACACGACCTCCCCCCGCCCCCTTTCCCTTTCCCCCATAAGTCTTCTTCCTCCAAATAATCGTCCAGTAGGCCGGCCGGGCGCGCCGCAGGCCCAGCTGGAAGCCCTGCTCGAAGTCCGTTTCTCCAGCATAGCCTGCCCTCCCCCTGCCCTTGCTCCTCCAGCCCCCGCCAGGTTTCCTCCTCCCGGACAACAGCTGGACAGAATAATCTCCGACGAACATCAGCCGGCGGGAGCAGCGGATGTCAAAGGGAAAACTGTCCACAATCTGGCCGGCGGTGCTGCACTGGCCGCTCCCGCTGCTGCACTGTTCTGGCGAAGAGGTCCTGTGGAACCCAGCATTAATTCTATTGAGTTGTTTTAAGTATGAAT